AAATTCACGAGTAAGTTGTTGAAAAAATGGATTACCAAGAAGCTATTGAATTTTAACAACTAGTTGTTCAATTTTAACAACTAGCTCACAATTTCCATTTGTTTTCTCATCAAACCATAATTTTTTAATACCAAAATTAAATTGCTTTGTTTTGTTTAAAATTATTTGTTTTGCTGTGCAATTTTAACAACTAGTTGGTGAAATTTGACAACTCATTAATTAAAATTCAGAAAAGATTTTTCAATTTCATTCGAAAACCATTTGTTAACTGTTCGATAAATGTTTGTCAATTTTTTTGGTGGACCAAATTTAACAAACTGTAGATTATTGGGAAACCTTCTTATTGCGATATCTTCTAGGCGAGAAGTTGATCGATTATATCAAGACACGAATGACTGCGGGATTGTTTTGATTGAAGTTATTGAATCAGAAGTTCAAGCTGTTTGCTTTTTATAAATAACACTGAGAAACGTTTTTGGCTAAAACTTCTTGTGAACTCCGTGGAATTTTTTTCTCATTGAAATTTCAAGTACTTTCGTTATTAAGAATTCAAAATTAATTAATTAGTTATGAAATTTCACTAACTAGTTGTTGAAATTCACCAAATAATTTTCGCTGTGTATGTGAATGAAAATATTCTTATGAAACAAATAATTGATTCGTTCAGAATAAATTGTCTATTAATGTCGGATAAATGATTCATTTTATCCAAGTGAAGGGTTATTCCATTTTCAACAACGATGTAATTTATTACTAATGACGTATTTATTCAGATCGTAAAAACTTTCATTCGTACTTGAAAAATTATTCATTTCATGGGAATGAAGAAGAAAAATGGTCTATTACGAAGTACTGGGATGAACACATTTATTTGCCTCGTATAACTCCTGAATTAAGAGAACTGTGTTCGTTTGATGTAAAAAATTGAAGTGAAGATCTAATTTTCCAAAAAGATCGAAATTAAAAACCGTCGAGAATGCAAGAGAAATGGCGTTTCCACGCGAAGTGGTACAAACAAGAAATTTTCGGACACTATTGGAACTTCACGTCAAAACATTTAACGAATCTTCATTTACTTTATTGTGTACTGATAGAAAAAGTGGAACGATTTAATTGCTGTTAACGAGGTTTCTTAATTCACACCACAATTCGTTAATAGTTAACGATTCGTGGTAATAATTAAGAAGCGTCGTTAACAGAAACCAAATCCTCCTATTAGTGTATCTAGTGAAACTTGCAATTCCAGAAAAATTTCCCTTTTTTAACAGAATGTCTCCCCCCACATGGTGACTTTTTCATTATTCAAAAATAATTGGAACATTGTTGCGTAAGATGTTTGAACGAAGGAGCGGATGAGGGTTGATGGAGGATGGTAGTGAAGAGACTGAAAAAATTATACTGGAGGGGTGAATTTAAAAGAAGCAGTTAGAAACGCCCCCGGGATTGTACCGTCACGTCATTCTATTCCTTGAGGAATTAAATTTTTATATCTTTTGGTGAGAGTTTGAGGGATAGAGTACGTGAAGTTGAATAAACCAGAGGAGTTGGGTAATGTCTTCTGCGCTATGAAAGTTCAAGAACTTGGATTTCCATTTTTATGATACATTGTTAAGCATTTCCTCAAACCAAATATTATATAGTGTATTGTGCAGTAAGTGCGGAAAGTCATGTTTTCGCTGCTCAAAATGCAGATGGTATTTTTTAACACGTCTGCAAACGTAAGTTTGTATTTTGTTTTCTGATGAGCGGGAGCAAAGAACGAACTCTACATTTAAGGATATCTAAGTACTTTACAGATTGAATTGAAGGGTGTCCAAGTACTTTAGCTATTTTTCTCCTGTGAAATGCTTTTGCCATTTTACACCCCTAAAAAAAATGAAATTTCATGAACAGTTCACTACTAATTTTGAGGACAGTGACACTGAATGCAATTTAGGGGGAACAAAATGAAATATCAGGTTTTACTGAAAAGTAAAATTCCAGAGATTTAAGCAGCATTAAGACGAGAATTCCTCAATTTATTTGAATTTCCAATCTAATATGAACATTCAGTGTCAAATTACATTGAATTTTCAGTGAAATCTGAAATTTCGTGATTTTTCCTCCCTAAATCGCATTCAGTGTCACTGTCCTGAGAATTCTAATATATTTGCCGGAATTTTTTAGTTTTCTATTCCTTTTTTGAGGGAAAAATGGAACGGAAATTGACAATTCTCTTCCATTTTTCCACGAAATTTTGAATTTTCAATGACGAAGTTCCTTGAAATTTCAGTGGTAATTAAATTCGATAAAAATTTCGAGAGATTTCATCTGAGCCCCATTGGATCCCAACTTTCCGGACATTTTACAACGATTTTATTACTTGAACTTTGCAGGTCTGAATTTGAATTTCCATATTGAGCCGTTGGAAAACATTTTAAAAACCTTTAAAAAAAATTTGAAAGTTTACTTTTGGAAGAAAGTTGATGAAATAATTAAAAAATTGAAAATTACGTTCGTTATTTAAAATAATTTTTATAAAATTAACATCAGGCCCTATGATTACCTTTTAGAAAGTAATTTTTATTCATTTTTTTCAAACATGAATGTATTTTATCAAGCTCGAGGATAAAACCTAACTGCCTCAAATCGTATAATTTCTGTTTAATGTAACATTTATTCATCTCATTCATCCATTTTTTTTCTTCAAAATCATTTGTTTAAGAAGTATCGATATCTCAAGAAGATCAAGTTTATATGCCCTGTGCCCCATTATTATTATTATTATTATTATTATTATTAGTATTACGTTGTTAATAACCAGAAAAACTGCAAATCCAAAAAAATCTAAATGCAGGGGTGCTGGTGATTAGTGATGACGCTGATAATAATTACGAATTGCAACAGTCTTTGATACATTGTCGATTAAATTTTTACACTGGCCCATTGTGCAGCCGAAAAGAACTCCCCTATTCGCGCCTAAAAAGTCGAACAGCATGGGCCATATACTCTCTGACAGCAAGCCTCGTTATTCATTTTGACTGTCGACTGGCAGACTGCGTGCGGGATAAGCTCAATTAGACGTGACGACAAAAAATGAAGAATATTCGGAAAAATACATACATTCGAGTTAAGTGCGACAGCTTCCTCGTACGACGTGAGTGGTCCCACTACTGTCTTGAATTATACTGTTAGAATAACATTGAAATTTCATGGGCAATTTAGTAGTAATTTTTAGGAGAGTGACTTGAATTAAATGGGGGAGGGGGGAGGGTGGCAGAGCTTGGGATTTCAAATTTCAATGAACGTTACTGTTTTGTATATTTTATAATGCGTTAGTAGCTCTATATTTGTTTTTCCCCTTGAAAATACTGCACTCCGATCGGCCGACATCCGAGCAGAAGAAATATTTTATGCACCGGAATGGGGTAGCGTAATTTCTGCACTTACGTAGAACTACTTCAGTGGAGATTACCTGGTTCATAGATTCCCCCATCTCTGATTTGCTTTACACGGAGAGAAATTTTTTAGAAAAATTCTAATGCTAGCACGGGAAAAGAGGCGCAAAGTGACGGCCAGGAAAAAATTCCAGTGCCGGCACTAGAAATTTTATTGGGGAAAACGTTAATGTTTCCCCGTATTTCTGTGAAAATTTGACAGAAATCCTCAGAAGTTTTACCAGAAATACCAAGAAATCTTATCTTAACAGTACTAGAATTTTTCACAGTCGGTGGATTTTGATTTTTTGCAGTACTCGTACTAGAATTTTTCTAGAAAATTTCTCTCCGTGTATTAGACCTCTTGTGACGCTTATTCCTTTCATCCTAGTTTCCATAATCGATTCTAACGTTTATTAATTTCGTAATTTGCATTGTACATCAGAATTCGCCTGGATACTCAACTGCAATTTTTGATGAAAAAGAAAAACATTCAGGATATTCAAATGTCTTTTACGGTTTGATACAGACCACACTATAGATTCAACCATTTTTGTTCATCAGATTTGTCGAGTAAATTACTGAGGAAAAATTTGAAAAAAATCATGAATATTCAGCGTCATTCGAATTACATTTTGCTAGCGAAGTGGTAAAGCGGTTTGAGTCGACTCATCTCCAGGTTGAGTTTTCGCGGAATATTCCTGAATCTAAGGAAGATAGCGAAATTTTCATAATGACATTTGTTGTAGCTCTCAATCGGCTCTACAAAAAAGGTTATAACAAAAATTTTGGTATCTCCCTTACATTCCAAGATATTCATTGAAAACCGGTCAATAGTCGCAATTGACTTGTACCGTTTTACCACTTCGCTACTGAATTATTTTTTTTTCTAAACATTCGTTATTTATAAATCCATAATTGAAACTGCTTCAATTATTGAAACAATTTCAATTATTCCAATTATTCCAATTTGACTTTCAACTTTTGGTAAAATTTTAAACAGGGGAGGATGGGATAAAATGGACACTTTGCACTTTTTTTAATTACTCATAACTCAGAAACAAATTTATCAATTGAGCTCAGCTTAGGCTCATTACAAAGAGAAAGAAATGTTCTTCGCATTGAGAAACAAATTATTGAATTTCATCAACATTTCAAGCCGTCGTTAACATTAAAAAAAAAGTCAATGTATCCATTTTACCCCAACCTCCCCTATGAATAAATTTGTTACGATTTCGAACGTAATTTTAAAGCTCGTATGGTATTAAGTACGAAAATTTTCAACAGTGCACTACCAAAATTCCTGCTTCGCACATCATCTTTCAGCATTCGTCCCGAACACTTCACATCCCCCGCTCTTTCCGCACATTATCATCCATCAGTCCTAGCTTACATTCTTACCTTCCAGAGGTAACAACAGCGTTCTTCGCCCTCGATAATTTACTCCCCGCGGTAATTCGTCGCATCGCCCATACCGACCGCAGTCGCCTTGTCTCCTACCGCCATCTCCCAGTTCCAGAACCAAGGAACCATTTAACTATAGCCAACTATACATATGTTATCCGAGTGTCCCCCTCCCGCCAAATGCACAACGCGGGAACGTTTCTCTCTCGTGTCTATCGCAAATTCAGTTCTGTGTGGGATAATACATGTCCCCCTTCGATCAGCCAATAGGAGACTATCAACACTCCGACACATGCACATATTTTTCAAAGGATAAAAAAAAGTTGCAACAATAATTACGTCAAGGTATTTGTGTTGTTGGTTCGATAGCCATAATAATTCCTATCAAGTTTTGTGCTCTCAACTCCGCACTGAAGATTGATTTCATATCCTAAAATTCAACATGTTGCACAGTGACGTTTCTAAACCGAAATCGGAGAAGACACATCAGCGGAGAAAGCCACAAAATCAGTTGAACCGCGGGATGGAGATGTTTGCGTCGCCAAAGCGTCCGAAACAAGACGGTAAGAGCAATAAACATGATCATTTGGTATTAAAACGCGGTTAATTATCGTTTTCCATCGCTGGATCGATATTTTCAGAGGGTTTTGCGAGCAGAACGGTTCATGGGGCATTGTTGTGAGATTATTTGTAGGTTATGTGCACAGTGTTATGAATAGTACAAGCACCACCTATAAACATATCTAAGATGAGATAAATCAAATTTTCTATCTCCCTCTGAAAACCCGCGCCAAACGTAACAATGTTTTGGCTTTTCGTGGGAGGTTGAGGGGTTATTAATTGGCCTGGAGGGTGTAAAATGTATTTATTCATGTCATGAACAATACGTTTTACGATTTTAGTACTTTGGACAGTTGGAAATACTCGCTAATGACAATCAATAGGGGAGGGTAGGGGAAAACGGACACTTGCCTTTTTTTGAAATATTCATGGCGTGTTGAATTGTTCATGAGATGGAACGATTTTATTTTCCAATTGAAAAACAATGATTCCTCTTTGTGATGAGCTTAGACTGAGCTCAATTGATAAATCTGTTTCTGAGTTATGAATATCTTTAAAAAAGTCAAAAGTGTCCATTTTACCCTACTCTCCCCTACGTTTTACAGTTCCAATAACATTGATTTCGCAGATTCATTTATTCAGTCAAAGGCTGAGGGGTAACAAATCAAATTCACTCTTAGTTGAATTTTTATTTTAGGGATTGTCTCTGAATCTGATAGATGTTGATTCTTACCAAAATTACCCCAAAAGTCTTGATGTCTTATTTATTCATTCAAAGTGTACAATACTTTTTTTTATTTATTTGGTCCAGATGTGAATCCTCTCGGGTTTTTGCATTTTTTTCCCTTCCCTTTGTCCCATAAAATATAAAATATAGGAGAGGTTGGGGTAAAATGGATACTTTTGACTTTTATAAAAGTGTTAATGACAGGTTGAAATGGTGATGAAATTTAATAATTTTTTTTCAATGCAAAGAACAATTCTTGCCCTTTGCGATGAGCCTAAACTAAGCTCCGTTCATAAATTTGTTTTTGAGTTATGAGTAATTAAAAAAAAGTCTAGTGTCCATTTTACATTAAAGATTTATGTTAAAGAGAGAAAATGCACATACATTTGACATTTTTACAGTCTAATATATTTCAATATTCAGCTAGTAAATCGTTTCAAAAGATTAATCAATATTAAATTCCACTTTTTCAAAGTGTTCAATATTAACCCCTCACGTACGGGGTCGATACATTGTATCGACCCATGCGAATGTGAACGCTTGTTTTCAAAATTGATTATTTCCAAATCTATGAAGAATAACTGGATCAGACAAACAAAATTGGAAAACGGAATACTGTAGCTTCAACTAGATACCGGTTTCATAATTTTCCATTCAGTAGAAGTAATCGAATTTGAGTTGTATTGAGCACACACTACACTTGGTAACAGAAGGGCCGCGTCCGTGAGGGGTTAAATCTCGTATTTTACACAGTACTTAATTACGCTAGAGAGTTGAGATATTTGTTCATGTACCGATCAACATTTTTTTTTATTTAGAACTAGAGGGCATCGAACATTCAATTTTTGTTACGAATATCGTTCGTTTTTGTTTCTTAAACTGACAATTTGCTTCAAGGAAATTAAGTCAATGGAGGGGTGGAGAGTAATATGTCGATATAATTTCTGTTCAAGTTTTGGGGGAATAGCGTTTTGAACACTTTTTTTAGTTTATCCTTTGAAAAGGATGAAGTGTTTCCATGCGATTTGTTCATTCTAACGATTTCAATATAGTACCCTGCAGTATTTACATTTTTTATTGTCTTCTTCTAAATTTGGCCTCATTAATTTTTAACATTAACTCGTGATACTATCGCTATGCAAGAATAGGTGTAGTTGAGGAGTTAATTATTATTTTAGAGGACTCGAAATACTCGCTAGTGACACAATCAGGTTTTACAATTTCGATACTACCGAATAGGTAGACTTCAATGACAGTAACATTGAATTCGCAATTTTATTCGTTTATTTATTTATGCAGTAAAAGGCTGAAGGATAACAAGTCAAATTGACTCTTAGTTGAATTCTTCAGGATTAGCTCTGAATCTGATAGGCACTTGACAAAATTTAGCAAAAATCCAAATTTTATTCATTTAAAACAATATTCAGAGCAATATTTCTAGCGTTTATAATTGAAAGCTAATCACCTAAGGGCGAACCTTGAGATTTAAAAATTTTTAAAAAATATCCAAGTTCCCTATTATTTCGATTGCACTTCGGGAGTTAACATTTAATGTATGCCATTTAAACATTTTGATTGTCGTAAAACAGAATAATTATTGAATTATTCACATTCTCAGTTATTTCCAATGGAAAAAGCTTGAAATTGCCAATAAAGCCTTTAAAATTCTTCCCTCTTTTGTCTCCGAATTCTCTCCTTAGAATTGGAAGTCACTGGTGTATCACGAAGTGGCCGAGTTCGAAAAAAATCCTCAAAACTGACGGATTTCGAGTCCCCTGACGACCTGGCCGATAGTAAATTGAAACGTCAGCAGAAAGCGCAACAGCAGCTCCACGCACAGCAGATGCTGGAGCGATTCGAGGCCCAGCAGAGTCAGCGCCAACAATCTCCAGCACAGCCCACCACTCCTGCTGCCAATCGTCCGAGGAAGAATTCTGGAACACACGTGTCCCCCCAACATCCTATCAAGGAAGAAATGCCTTTTGATCCTCCAGGTGAAGAGCCATCCTCAGACTCGGAGGATGCTGACGATCTAAATGAAGATGACAAGTTCTCGATGGAGTCGGGGAGTGAAGAGGACATGGATCCTCTGATGATTGATGAGAAGGAGACTGGTGGGTTTAAGAGGCTAGAGCCTCCTGAGCAAGAGGCATCATCGCAGGCTAATAGTCTTTACATGTTGGAGAAGAGTAAGAAGAAACTGATTATCAAGAATGGGAAGATTATTGGACGGATGAAGGCACAGAGGAAAGACAAAGGGGTGAGTTGAGATTATTATGCGTTTCCTTTCTAAAAAACGCATGGGCAATAGCTCGAACGAATGGAGAAAGTAAGACGGTCTTCATGAGTACAATCGTCCCGCGTTGAATTTTTATGAAGCTGGCCTGACAAACCAAAGAGAATTGAATTCCATTCTATGAAACATAAATAAATGAATCATAATTCAAGTCATTTGGGTGAGAGAAAAATAGAATAACTCTACTTTTTTAATATTGCATTTACTAAGGATTTCTTCGAACAAAGTTGATTCGTGCGGTAAGGTTTTGAGGTGTTTTCTTATGTTTTCGGGTATGAGAAATCCGAATCCGGTGGTATTTTTTATGTAAGTGCGTGCAATTAATAGTTATAAACAAATTAAGTGGTTTTTTTGATAATTTTTTTTTT